ATTCAATGGCATCGGTTTAGGAAAGGGGATCACGTCGCCAGTTCCTGACAATAACCTACCGGTGGCATAGTCGGATAGAAGTAGTCCCGGCTATAAGCATCATCATAAAACAAAGCCTTTTTCAGTCATTTAAGTCAATAATCGAAGTTTAGTTAGAAATTTTATTCAGTTGGTTTATTTAGTTATTTTTTTCCAAGTCCTTATTGCGTAAAGCAGTAAGTTGCTTTGAACGGAAGGAAACGTGTGACCGCAAGTGTTCTATCAATTGTGTAGCACAACGTCTTCCAGAAAGATGATTTTTTTTTAAACAAGTTAGTTACAGAAAGCGCATACGCTCTCACAGGAAGGATACGGTTTTGCTCCGATCAGGTCTCAAAAATGGAAAAAAAATTAATCATTATCTACTAAAAAACCAGAAGTCATCTCAACCCCTCACACGTGAATCAGAGAGTTAAATAATCAATCGAATAAATTAAAACCTATTGGTGAGAAATAATAAGCGAATGGTAGGTGTGTCAATCCCATATAAGACGCGATATAGAACCAGAAACGCTGCTATGCAATCAGCGAACGTGTCGAACCCTAAAGCGCTATGCGCGAACGACAGTGTTCGAGACATTCGCACTGAGTTAGCGCCGGTCTTGAAAGAAATGATGGCTGAAGTAAAACACACCCTGTTAAAAGAAATGCGCGAGACCATACCCGGGTTCATCAGAACTACAGGGGCAGGATTAGAATCTTCAGGTGTCGGTAATAGGTCGCGAAATCAAACAAAAGGAGAAGACACAACTCCAGTATTGAGTCGTTTGAGTCCAGACGCTCCGGGGAACTACCTATAAATAAGAATTTTAATCAAAACAACACTAACAGAAATAATTACGTTCCAATGTCCCATTCAGCTGCGCATGCTTTCGCTGTCGATGAGCCAGCGCCACCTCGCCAGACGCCAATAGTAGAGGTAAGGATACCAGCAGCTGGCCCCCAGGTCGCTCTTCCGCCATCTGGAAAAGAAAACAATAAAGAATTTAGCCGACCAGAGATTAACATCGAAAAGTGGGGTATAAACTATCAAGGGCATCGCGAATCGATGTCGATTGAAGACTTCTTGTTCCGATTAGAACATTTAAAAGAATTATATGTGTGCTCGTGGGGCGATATTTTGCGCGATTTTCATCGATTGTTAGGCGGGGAGGCGCGAGAATGGTACTGGCTTTACATTCGATCTCACGGTAAGGTCGACTGGCCAAGTCTACAGTTTGCGCTAAAGCACCAGTTCGCATCGCAACGCAGCCATTTCGAAATCCTGAGGGATTTGACGGAGCGGAAACAAAGACCAGTTGAAGCTATCGACGAATATTTCCATGTGGTAGGTACAATGCGCTCGCGTCTCAGGAACCCGATCCCTGAGTACGAAATAATGAGATTAGTAAAGGGTAACTTACGCGAATCTCTTGCCAAAATAGTCTATCCAATTTCCGCATAATCACTCGAACAGCTAAGGCTAGAATGCAAAGAAGTGGAACGTTGTTTTCCGCGCCGAGAACGCATGCTGTCTAGTGGCTTCGGACAACGCGCACAACAGGTTAACGAGATTAGCTCCATCGAAGATGAAGGGCGGTTTACTCCCGGTGATGAGGGTCAAGTCACCGTGGAGGAAATACGCCATCAACGCTCAGCTAAGCAGCCAACTGGCCGTAGACATTTTTCGTGCTGGAATTGTGGCGCCGAAGGCCACGTTTTCACCGAATGTATATCGCGACAACGTCGAATTTTTTGTTTTAAATGCGGAAAGTTGGACGTGATAACACCTAAGGGTCCATCTTGCAATCCAGCGGGAAACGCAGTGCGGAACGCTATTACGACGGGGGAATCGCGCTCCACACAGACCCCGCACGAGTAGATGCCTCAACGAATACAGAACCAGACGAGGAGTTGGGTCGTGATGCAAACTCATCTGAAACCAAAACGGAAAGTAACATTTTTGAAATAATAATTACAAAGAGAAATAAAGTAATCACAAAAAATGGAAGTATGCCACCTTACGAGGAAAGACTGAGGAAATATCTCGAAACATGCCAACGAATTTTCGCCGATAGTGCGCTAATGGGCGCCGAATAGTGCCGCGAAGAATACAAAAGGCCCGTGAAAGATTCCGGCAGCGGAAAACACTGCGGCAAAAAGTTGTAGCGTCGGTTAGACACGCCGATCAACAGGATCCGCGCGTTTACGCGGACATAGAGATAAAGGGGTTATCGACACGAGGCCTGTTAGACACTGGGGCGTCCGTAAGCATTCTGGGCCAAGGCTTCCGCGAGTTCGTGGAAGAGATAGGCGCACCGATTGAAAAGTACTTTTCGTGTGTAAAAACTGCGGGCGGTCGCACGCACAATATATTAGGAAAGCTTACCATACCTGTGAAATTCAAAAACGTAGAACAAAACATTACATTTTTTTTTTGCCCATACCTAGAGCAAAATATTTACCTTGGGGTGGACTTCAGGCGCGCCTTCCGCTTGTCCCCAGAAGTGATATCCGTGAGTGAAATCGATTTGACCA